CCGTTTGACCCAATTCCCCCTTGTCCTACCACTGCAGTCCCTAATGAAGAGTCCCTCCCCAGCATCCTTGTAGGCCCCCTTCAGATACTGTAAGGCTGCTATGAGGTCTCCACGCAGCCTTCTCTTCTCCAGGCTGAACAGCCCCAACTTTCTCAGCCTGTCTTCATACGGGAGGTGCTCCAGGCCCTGATCATCCTTATGGCCTCCTCTGGACTTGCTCCAACAGCTCTATGTCCTTCTTATGTTGAGGACACCAGAACTGCACACAGTGCATCAAGTGGGGTCTCATGAGAGCAGAATAGAGGGGCAGGATCACTTCCTTTTGATGCAGCCCAGGATCTGGCTGGCTTTCTGGGCTGCAAGTGCATTTGAAAAATCATTTAGCACTTGAAAACTAAAGCTCTTCTCTGCTCTTTCCAAGTGGGGTTCTCCTCAGGGTGTCCTGCCTTTCCACAACAAATAAAGGCAGGCTTGATCTAACTCGGAAGAGGTCTGCTTTCAGGGGAGCCCTGCCCTGGAGTGGTGCTTGTAGTGGACTCTGTTTCCTTCCAGCAGAACTCTTGGGATTTTCAGTTGTATGGATTCTCATTATTTTCAAGGAATACTGAACTAATAAGGAAAAAATCCTTGGGATATAGGTTCTGGTTTGGTTTTATTGTTTGCCGTGGAACCTGCTTAGAGGTCACTGCTTTGCTTGCAGTCCACACTAGAAAGGGGTGTCAGAGGCAACAGGGAAGTCAGCTGTCCATTGCACATAAGCACACAAGGGCTGTGCAGAGCCAGGCAGGTGAAGTGGCTGGTATGTGTTCTCAGTTGGATAAGAAGAAGAATGAGGAAGCTAACTCTAAACTTTTCACTGAAACCAAGGAAGAATCCTCATTGTGAAACCGTTTGCGAGGTTGGGCTTTGCTTTCTTTATTTCTTTTATCTTTTGGATTGTTTTGGTTGGGGTTTTTTTCCCTTTTTTCAGACCTTTGCCATGCTTTGAGACACAGAGTCGTTCTTACCTTCTTTGTAGGATGGTCAGGATATGTAGGATTGTCTGCAAAGACAATGCGAAAGTGCCCTAGATAATGACATGATGATGATGGTGCTAACTGCATGTTCAAGTCCTAATGCCTCTTTTATGTCTTGTTGATGTGTAAGGGCTTGGCAGTGGCAGCTCTTGCAGTTTTTCTGATACCACCTAGGGGCTTATCTTTAGTTAGTCAGCTTCTTTCACGCATAGTAAGAAGCATACAGCAGGAAGTCTGAGGTAAACCCACATCTGGTGGGTTTATCCTCTTCCAAGTTTCAGTCCCAAGGAGTTCCATGGCAGATCCAAAGTGGTCAGTGTCCCTTTGGATCTGTGTGTCTGCAGATCTGTAACCCTGGTGTAATTCCCAAGGTGACCAAGATTGCTGTTGTGTGACCTGTGTTTGGGGGCAGTGTGCTTCAGGGTTCTCTCTTCGTTCTGGGAAGAGTGGAAACTGGCATTTTTCCAGGGTGAGCCTCCATGACTCATCTGTGCAGGGACCTCAGCATCAGAGTTCACAGCCTCTTTGCATAAGGACATTTATCTGTTCCGATAGTGCTTCAACAGAGAGTTACTTCCTCAGAGATTCCAGAGAGCCAAACACAGTTCTTGTAAAGAGACTTTTTAGAAACAATTGTCAATTGCTGTCTGTAGGATGAGAAAAGCATCAAAACATGAAATGCTTTCAAAATTTGAAATACTTCACGAAACTTTTTAATCCAACAGCCTTATCTTTCCAGTTTAGCCATTTGCTCCTTCTGAGTTTACTTCTTCAGTGTGTGTTTTCAGCCTGGTAGGGTTGATAACAGTTAGTTACTGTTATGCTGCTGGCTGGTTCTTGGTGTCTGCCATCTCTCTGACCTGAGTTACCTCCCTAAAAATGGAGGACAGTCAGAGTTAGCAATATATGCTGTTACTGCTCTGCCTGTGTCCTAATTTGAGCCAAGATTAAGGTAATAAGACTGTACAGAACAGAGGATAGTAAATATCACAAATATTACATGGTGAACATTGCATTAAAAATACATTAAGATAGTATGTCAGTGCATATAGAATGTCTTCCCTGGCCGCTGTACTGGGCTTTTCCTAACATCTGTGCTGACATTCTCGAAGTGTTTGTTCTTCTGTCAATCTGGGATTTGGCTCAGAGATTTGTGAAATGTATTACTGAAGTCATCTTTTAACTGCAAGGTGGTAAACCTTTAAGGTTGCTCTCAAGGAGTATTTACTTCTAGATCAATGAAGTAGAAATAGCCAAAGTGGCAGTCATAGCTCATGTATCTTAGAGTTTAGGCAAGCTAACTCTCCAGCGTTGCTCCTAACTTTGGAGTCTAATTTTACAAGTGATTGTGTATGTAGAAGTAAAGCCTCTGACTTAAAAAGCTGTCCTTATTTGAAAGTGCTGTATGTTCAGAGTAGCTGAATCTGGAAGCTCTGTGAAGAGTACAAATGATCCTTCTTCCCTCTCTGGCTGTTCAGGATGAAAACCCATTAGTGGGATAATACACACACACACAGAAGTTTATATATGTAATATGGGCCCCTGTGTTAGCTGGTGTTGGGCACTCACTCTGTCTGTATCTGCCCCCAGTGCTTGGGTCTCCCTAGGGGCTGGTTGTGTAAGCCCTGCTCCAGTTGCTGGTGTTTAGATCCCATATGTGTACACCCGCTCCCCCCCACTGTGTATATCCCTCCGTACATGTCCTTAGACACTCAGTCTAATAAGTTACTAGTCCCAGATGATTTGGCCTCCCAGTTACCTCAAGTCCAGACACAGATGGGTGCCCGGCCCAGACCTTGAAGTGGTTCAGGTCTTACCTGACGTTAGCTGCACCACTATGGAGTCAGGAGAGTTACAGAAGAAACTTGCCTAAATGAGGCAGAATTTCTTTCTCAGCTCAACATACGTGGTGCATATAAATATGTTATTTCTTTCTTTTCCTAGGAATTTTCCCCTAGCAAAATGGAATGTTTTGGTGGACACTGCTTAAGATCAATGCGGAAAAGCATGCCGCCCTGTTCAGACTCCAGCTTTGACAAAAGCATGGAGATACTAAGTGAAAATGTCAGTCGAAGGCACTTTACGAGGTACTGTATTTCTGGGTGTTCAATCTTTGTTGACTTGATGGAATGGAAAGGAAAACTGAAAGCATGCACAGTGAGTCACATCATCATAAATCAAAAGCCTGCAGGGGAATACGGTTATGTTAAAATGAGTGCTGGGGACTTGGGACTAGAATCACTACTTTTAGTACAAGTCTTCTGCTTGTAGCAAAAACCATGCATCTTTTCCCAACTCCTTTGAGCTCTCTCCACTTCTGGTGCTGAGGTACTGTGTGCCCTATTAGGACTTCAGGATTAGGATGTTGTGAGATGTCAGTTGTTCTAGAACTGGTCCACAGGCTTTTCTTTGTATGACCACGAGCACCAGATTATAAACCTGCTAAAGTTCCCCAGTCTTGAGGGGGAATGCAGTATGATAGGATATAAAGAATACTTCCGTACAGTAATTCTAATACAGTGTCCTCTTCCTTAATGTAGGCAGTTGGCAAAGCCAAAATCAAACCAGAAAAAAGAAGAATATAAAGAAGGTAAGTAGTGGGAATTCTGTAGGATACCTTTTTAGCCCAGTTTCTGAGGAGGATTGCATTTTGTCACTCTGTCTATTTAACTTGGCCCCAAAAACATCTGAACTCTTAGGCAAAATCGCCTGAAGCTGTGAGAATAGGTATCTCAAAAATAGTGAGTTTCCTGTGAGTTTTATGCAGTGAGGTAGATCAAACAGCAAAGTTTAAACATGAGTGATTTAAGTTGGATGTTGTCACCATGACATTGACCTCTAATACAGTATTTAAAGAAAACAACACTGCAGATTTTACATTTACTAGAGCAGTGGTGAAATAAATGTAGTAACACATTTTCTAAATGTCTCAAAATACTTTCTATGTTAATGCATTTTAGTCACCAGAACACTGAAGACCAGAGTTGAGGCAAAAGCTGCAGAACATGTCCATGAAGAAAACGGAGATTTAGAGGTCCGCCGAAGCTGCAGACTTCAGCAAAGTCGTTACACCACTACAAATCAGTCTGTTTTGTTTGACAAACTTATAACAAAGTAAGTGGGTTTTTTCCTCATTTCTCAAAAGCCACTGACATAAGCCTTATTAGCAGCCTTTGTGCTATGGCATATATTGGCTAGGGGCTTCCTCCTCTTGACAACAGAAAAAGGTATTGCTAGTCCTGGCAGCAAGAGCTCAGTGGATTCAGTGGTTAGGCTGAGACCTCCTTACGTGTATGTGGTACGTTGGCACAGCTCGGAAGGATTTGCAACATGTAACAGCAGTGGGATGTTTTTTCCAGTGTCTATAGTCATGGAAAATCAATATGAAACTTAAATTACAGTTAAGAACAAAATAAACAACCTGTTGGCTGAGGAAGGCCGTGAACTACAAATGACTTAATGCTATCATGCAGAGCAACTGAAGGAGCTGTTGAATACTGCTGTAATTTCTGTTACCTTACTAGCATCTTCAGAATTATAGTTTTCTTACTAAACCAGATTTTTTTAAGATTTATTTTTAATGTGATCAATGAGAGGGGAAAATAAACCTGAAAACAGAGTATGTTTGCAAATCCTCAATGCTTCTTCTTAATGCTCAGTCGAAAACAGTAAAAGTTTGAACTAACTTTAGTTTAAGTAGTGTTTAAAAACTTGGCTAAGTGTCGGTGACTCTGCTTTGTGCATACTCTGTTGGAATGTCATAACAGTTATGTGTATTCCTGGATATATTTTGGGGTTTGTACTTGCCTGTCTTTGCTCTGACATGTCAACTTTTCATGTTAGTACCGCAGAAGCCGTCTTGCAAAAGATGGATGACATGGAGAAGATGCGTAGACGGCGAATGATGGAAGACCTGGGGGTGTTCCACGACACAGACGTAGATACTGATTTATTTCACTATTCTTTTGTCTAAGTAGTGTGTTTCACATAGGGAAACAATTTAGTTTCTAATTTTAATTTAACTGAAATAACTTCTACAGAATATTGTGGCCCAAAGTAACACTTGTTCTTGCTCTAATTATAATTTAACGTCTTGCTGTTAGTGGTCATGCTATAGATGGACTTTAAGGGTGGAGGAAATATCTTCCTCAGAAGACACAAAATTGCAGTGATATCCCAAAATACATGTCATACTGTGCTTAATTAATTGCCTTATGATTTTTTAATAGGTACTGTTTACAAACAGCTGGTTTGGGTCTTAAATCTTACTAAAAACTGAATCCATTGGTGCTTGATCTGTGTCTGTTCTTGTCCGGCCTTGCCTGTGAGCTTAAGTAGTTTCTGTCCCTACAGGAACTTGTGTTAAAATTCTATATAACAATCCTATTTCCTCTGTATTGGTTTTGCTGTATTAAATCAAGTTCTTCTGCAGTCCATTTGATTGACAGGCACTTCATTTTTAAAACCTCTTCATAGCCTGCCTTCATAGCTTTGGTTTAGATCTGAATTCCTTTTTGTTTAATGAAACTGGAATTGTCCCTAGTGCTTTGTACATCATCTCTCAAATGCCCATATGATTATTTTTTTGTCTCATAGGAATTGCTTTTTTCTAGCTTCTGCCAGGTTCTTTGATCATTAATGATTAATCATTGTGATTAATTGACACACACTGCATTTTGTATGTGGAGAAGTATTAAATATCACATGTACCAAGCCCTATTTTAGAGGAGAAATTCTTCATGTTAATCCTGGGTGCCAGAATGATGTCCCTAGTCTCTTCTCCTGTACCCTAATTTAATCCTTTGTGTATATGCAGTGCCTTGATACTGTAAAGAGACACCAAATATGCCCATGTGTGGTTTTCTACATATTTGACTGATCTTTCTTGTTTCTTTTAATTAGGAAAACCTCAGTATGTACTCCCGAGGAAAGAAAGAAATCCAAAGAGCTGACAAAGAAATAGCTGATAATCAAGGGGGCATTGTAGGTTAGTTCTGGTTTAAATTTTCTTTACTATGCTTTAGCCAAAAGCCTTGTCTTAAACAATTGGGATGACCTGATTTCTCATCTATTCAGAAGTCCTTATGGCTCTTGACATTCCAAGCCATAGTCACAGGCTCTAGGGCTGTGCTGCAGTGAGCTCAGAACACGTATTCTGAGGTTAAAAAAAATGGGTGCAACAGTTGGGAATGCAAAGAAATGGGTGGCATGACTCAGAATGAGAAGGAGCGACCCAGCTACAGCAGGAGCATGACCATGCTCAGGGGTTTGAGCGGCACAGTGGGACTTTTCGGGAGTTCAGGTATGGAATTGCTGTGTATGTATGGAAAGCTCCTCCCTAGCATGAAGATCAGGAGGGGAGAAGACATGTTTTGCATTCTTACCATCTTCAATGGAAAAAACCCTTCAAGTTAGAGTTTTTAGGACAGAACAATATCTGTATGTGTGCTCCTCTGCTTTATAGTTTCTGGAATGCATCTTCATCAACTGGTCTTCACATTTTGCAGGCTTTCAGAGGTGTTGTGTCATTTACATGAAGGTAGTAGTGCAGTGTTTTGAACTGAATATAATTTGCAACAGTACTTAAACAATTTAATGTCATGTTGATGTACAGTAACTTCATCTGATGAAAGTGAAGAGAAAGAAGATGAAGATGGTGAGCACACTCGAAAGCGTTACTACTTTCGACAGAGGAAGACCGTGGAGCGCTACCAAGCGCCACTGGAGAGTAAGTTCTGCAGTTTCTCTTATGAGCTGATTTCTTGCATGTAAGTGAGTTTGGTTTTATTTTGTAATGCAAATCTCCACACACACTCAACTTGTATTTAAATTTCTTACCTTTGTTCTTCAATGTAAGTTTTATTAAGTGCATGCAGCCTGTGCACATTGTGTTTCTTTGCCATTAAATGACAAAAAAATGTGTATCCTTGAAAGAATGGTAATTAAACAGACTTGATGATCTTACTTTTGTAGTTTTCAGTTCCCCTAGGTGCATGTGGGGTTTTCACTTCTACTGTGCACTAATTTAACACACCCACCTCCCCAAATCACTCAAAACTTCCCCTGAAACCAGACATGGGTGAAACACATCATGTTTTCTGCCTCTTTCACTATCCTGTTTCAGGATATAGGATAACACTACTCCTGTTTTCACTATCCAAGTTTCTGTTCAACTTGTTTGAAGGTTTATTCTAAATCCTTTGCTTTCAACAGAACCAAGACAGCGTAAGATGTATTTTCCAGGCCGGTCTTCACCTGTCAGACAGAGATGTTCATTTACAAGTGCTCAGCCACAAGGCTCTTGCTGCAAAAGTAATAACAGGTTGGTGATGGCTGGTGACAGTTCCTATTTATCAGTAGTGCTGCCAGTCACATCACTGAATTATGCTTTCAAGAGGTTTTGGATTGGTGGTAATTACAGATGAATGGTATGATTATTGCTGTGGTGGTCTGAGGG